CGAACGAACGAACGTACGTATAAACGATGACTCGTTGCACGAGCGTGCTAGAAAAATCTAAAACCCACTTTACGGGCGATCTATAATTCGCGACGGGATTCAGGGCAGAATTCTATTTGTAACTTTATGCGCCGTGTAAGAGTACAGAAAATCTTTCGAGATTTATATGTGTACACGTGTTCACACACGTATACTCTACGAGCACACCGATAAATGCAATTCCGATTCTCTCCGGCTGTTTTCTTTACAAATAGAGAATTCACGTCCCGTATTCTGCCATGAATTAGAGATCGCTCGAAGAAGCGGACTCTGCTTCTTTCCTATATCTCCCGTTAATTAGGAGGGCTTCAGTTTGCTCTCATCGACACGCTCCGATATAAGAACCGCAATCTTTCCGTATGTGAGTAAAGTGAATTTCGATCGGGAAGTATCCCGCACGTTAGCCCAAAGCGGAAGGAATATATCGCGAATGCGTTTCCTGCTTCCTTGGCCGCGATCCCGCTCTCTCTCGCCCCTCCTCCACCCCGGCCCCTACCTGCCAAAACCAGTCGGTGAAACTTTAATGCGACAAAGTTTTCGAACTTGCCGCCATACCTCAGCCCGAACCCCCTCTGATAATTTACTCGACGCCGCGCGAATGCTCCTCCGCCTTCGATTCGCATGAGCAAAATTACGTCGAGCGCGCGATTTCAGCTACAATTGAAATTACTCGCTGTCAAAACTTCGCGGGCGATACGAGCGACGACCCATTTCGAGGAGGAGGAGGCGAGAGGAACGTTTCCTCGTAAACGAGATCGTAATGGAGCGCGTCCTGCGTTTTACGTCACGTTACGTTACGTTACGCTAACGTTACGTTAATGTTTACGACCCGTTTTTTCGGCGCTTGGCAAACTGTCGATACATGACACAGGTGTGTGTGTGTGCGTGCGTCATCAATCGCAGGACGGCGACGACGACTAATATCGCGTTCGTTCTCTCTTCGTAAATTGGTTCCGTTTTAGCTCGGCTGCGGATATATATTCCATTGTATTTATTTAAATGAGACTAGGAAACTACACGTCGGGAATCCATTCAGCGTTAGTTTAGATACGGTGAGATATAGAGTGGAACATATTGAAACGGCTTGGTAATTTTGTAAGCCATAAATTATGTACACGCGGTACAAGTGTGCGCGCACCGCGGTATTGCGACAGACAAAGAGAGGATACCTATACCACGCGTCCGCTTTGCGCAAAATGTAGATTACTATAACGACAGATTTAACCGCGGGCGAAATTATTTCCATAACGGTCGTCGGGATAGAAACGCACCATCGCTAGCGCCGTCCGTCCTCGTCGTCATCGCCGCGTGAAAAAGATGTATTGCGCTCTCGCAAAACTAGGTTTCATCTGAGAATACTTTGCAATTTAAGAGATCTCGCCGCTTCCACTACCAGGCAACGTGCCGATTTGTGCGAGCGCTCCGATCTGCATTCGTGATAACGAGAGATACGCAGGATCGGTGCGCAGGAAGGACAACTGGTCTCGGTCGGTCGGCGCGAAGTCGCGAATCACCGTCCGTTTCTGCCGTATGTTCGTTATTACTACCGCTGCCACTTATTAACTGTCGTGACACGCGCTGACGAAACATCGCGATTCGAAGCATCGAGGCATCCTGCGCGACTGTCCCTCGTCCTTAGATCGATTGGCCGGAAGGAATGGAAATTTTATACTCGTTAATCAGCGCCCGGCCCGGGCAAGTAAGTGACGCACACCGGGCAAATTCAATTACCTTACGTTCGTTAAAACAAATTTACTTTGTAGCACACACCGCGATTGCGGATTTTAATTTGTTCTCTTCGATACGTAGATACAAATGTACAAATACGCCCGTCGCCTCCTCCTCACCTCCTTCTCGTCCTCTTCCTCCTTCTCTGCCGGTGCTCGTGCACGTATGTGCCGCGCCACCGACCGTCTCGCGGTGGTCGTACTGTGTGTACGTATATGTGTGTGTGTGTGTGTGTGTATGCGTACATGCTTTTTTATGCCCTTTCAATCTACGTTTATTCATTCTTTTATGGATACCAACCGGGCTCGCCTTTCATTTTGTTTCAACGGAGGAGGAGAGAACCGAATGAAAAGTTGAAACGGGCGGAGGAAAAGAGTAGAAATAAACGAGCGGGGCGATGGGGAGGGGCGCGGTAGGTACGCGAGGAGAAAGGGAGTGACGCGGGGGTGAGCGCGCGGGAGGAAGAGGTGGAGGAGCGGCAAGGGGATGGCGACGGCGGGGGGGGGGGGGAAGGGGGGGGGCGAGGGGGNNGGGGGGGGGGGGAGAAGGGGGAGGTCGAGGGGGAACGAAAAAGGAGGCAAGGAGAGAAAGGGGCGAGCGGGTGGCGGGTTGTTACTGCTGGCAGGGCGCGGGAGAGGAAAGGCTCGCGCGGAGAGAGGTGGAGGAAGAGTATATAAACCTGTAGAAATGCATTAGGTACCTACCTACGGGCGATATTACCCAGGGAAAAATTCTGCTTCTCAAAGGGTCGCCCCGAGTGCTTTTCAAAGTAGATTTTCGGAACGAGCTTGTCCGATCTATCTTGAGAGGAGGACGCGTCGGAAGAGGAAAATTGCGGTAACTCGATGGACACGATGGCCTATCGATTTAATCGCCGACGCGAGAGTGTAAGATTTCGCGTTATTTATATGTGAAAGAAACGCTCCTTTCTCTCTCTCTCTCTTTCTTAACTAAAACGTAAGGACGAGCACAATGAGACCGAGTCGTGTTACGAAAAGGCGCTTTTGAAATCCCTAATTAATAAACATACGCATCTGGCGCGTACGCGCAGTAGCAATAGTGGTGGTTACACGACCGAGTGTTTTTTCACTGTCTTTATCCTCGGGCTGCGATGTCGCGATCGACGGCGTTAAGAGCACGCGAATAATTATTCGATTAGGCAGCTGTGCGCGGAACGTGAAACGTTCGCATTAATATTCGCCGTATTAACGCTTTGTATAGCGACGAGGGGGAGATTCGACGATGGATACGCACGATCGGAAACATTGATCGCGATGCCAGACACGACGGTATTCTATGGAAGAGATTTAATTTAGACGAACGTTTCAAATCAGATTGAACCGGGGAATATGGGCGTTGTATGGTAGTGGTGGTAATGCCGATGGCGATGGTGGTAGTGGTGGTGGTGGTGGTGCTAGTGGCGGCGGCGGCAGCGGCGGTGCTGCGCGGGTGTAGCGATAGAAGCGAGAAAGAGATAGAGGCTGAGAAAGAGAGAGAGGGGAGAGAGGGTGTGAGAGACAGAGGGAGAGACGAGGTAAGGGGAAAGAAGGGGTGAGGGCTCGTCGTGACGCGCGGGGATGAATGAGGGCAGAAACACGGATCGGGAATGCCGTCGACCGTCGAATACCAAGGAATCACTGGGAATTAACAATTTTTCAATCGACACTCGTACTACCGCGTCTGTTATTAATTATAACGGGCGCACACGTGCACGACGGAGCGCATCGCGCAACATTTGTCCGACTTTGCGATTCGCGCGAAGAATCGTCGCTTACCGTCGGGGAACGCGATGAAATGAAGCCCGATTTGACATTCGCGGCGGACCTCTCGCCGGCTTCCCATCGGAGAATTCGCGCGTTTCCCTCTTCGATTTCCTTCCGGTTCCGCGATTCTCTTCGCCGTTCCGCCGTCGTCGCTCGCGCGACGAATAGCGATCGCCGTTCAACGACGAATCGGCGATCTCGGCGACTGCGGTCGGCGCACCGTGTTTTCGACGCGGTTGCAGCGGCGATTATTCCTCCGCGATAATGAAAGCGTTTTAATCGATTGCATCAGTTTTCATCGCCGATTTTATTATTTATCCGCCTCAACACGGAGGGGGCAAGACGCGACGCGCAGCTCTCGCTGGGAGCGCTCTTAATCGCGAGCGATAAAACCCTTACGGTTTCTCACCGGTTACACCGCCGGTGATTAATGACCGGCGGTTTCGCATTTACTCTTACGGTAAATAATCTAATTATAACTACGCGACTGTGCGCACGTCTGCGCGGGGCCGGCCATTTTTCGCATTGACCCGGCGGATAAACGGCGTTAGATCATCGCCGCGCTGCGGATGACATCATCCGCAGCTGCTCCGAAGCTGCGGAGCGTAAAACGCGAGCAAAAGTGCAAACGCAAAACGACCTGCACCGCCGCACGAGCGACCGAGTCGTGTTACACAGCTCGTCTTCCGAAGTCGATGTCGGAGGTTAAGGGAGGTGAACGAGAGAGAAGAAACGCCTCGGAAGACTCGCTGAATGCATAAATATTATCGGCTCACGTGAGAACGATGCCCCCCGCACGCGATGCTCGCCTTTCCGTCGCGAGAACGCGTCGCATTCCGCATAGAAAGAGAGAGAAAGAGAGAGGGAATACATTTATAAATAGAGAAATTACACGCGCGCGATAACACATTACGTGTCACGTTAGACGTTTTAGAACGACGTATTCTTCTATTCAAATTCAAATGAACAAACGCCGAGAGAGAGAGAGAGAGAGAGAGAGAGTAAGTGTCGGTCGTCCGTAACGCGCGAATCGGAGCACCGCTCGATAATGACGAGATTTTGTAATCGTTTTACGAGCTGGGCGGGATACGCTGCTCTCTCGTGCCGCGCGCGCGACATCGTTTTTCTCGCACATCTCCCACACACACACACACACAGCATACTCTCCGTCGCGATCTCTTTCTTTCTTTCTTTCTTTCTCTCTCTCTCTCTCTCTCTCGCGAAGTCTCTGACTCTCTCGCGAGCTCTTGGATTCGCTCGAATCATCGACGTACGATTCGTGTACCGATTGGGTGTAAATTTGAAAAATCGGCCGTTTCCCAACCGCCTCCAACGTACTTGAACGTATGTGTTGCGAGAAAGGAGGGGGCCGAATTCGGGGGGGAGGGGAGGGATCGCGGAAACGCGACGGCCAACAGCCGCGAAAGCGCGACTCACGCTCGCCAAGAGAGATGCCTGAGAGAGACTCACCTTATAGGAGTACTGGTCGAACATCCTGCAGGCTTCGAGATCGCTACTGAGAACGGAATAACCGGCGTCCATACTGACCCGACGCTTCTTCTCGCCGCCTGGAACGAGCCCTTGTGAATGAAAAGCCGTCTATCACGCACAAACACACAGCTTGACAACTAGTACCGAACAAACTGATCGCGATCGCACCGACGATACCGTCGCTCATCGTACGAGCCGTGAGGTACCGACGCGACGTCGTCGTATCCAGCCTCGCCGTGTTACACACTCCGATCGTACCGCTCTAGGCAGCCTCTCGTGTACTCCTCCAATCGCGAGGCGCGTAACGCGCGCGCGGCGCGTGGCGCGACAACCCGACGACTCGCGGCACTATATTCTATTCTGCCGATCTCGATCGCGACAGCTCGATTATCGATACGCGATCGCCGGGCGTGTTGCTATCGCCCTGTTGTGATACGCGAGTGACACCAACGGCCGACGGCAAGACCGCCTCGCGCCAATTTCGCGCGGAATGTTGCCGATCCTGCGTGAAAATGACGGCGGCATCGATCGGGTTCGATCGGGAACGACAACGCTTAGCCCTCTCACTAGCCGATCAGTCGCGCGATCGCCGCGCGTTCCACGACGCTGTATGTGAGTGTATATGCTGATGTATATCTGTGTGCGTGTGTGTACGTACGTACGTAAGCGCGGCCAAAAATGAATGTGGCACGTGAACGAACGACAAACGATCGTCACTGGTCGAGGTCGGCAGGTGCCACGCGAGACGTCGAGCGCGACTCTCGCGGTTTGTACGAGGGAGGGCGACCGACCGCCAGCGACCGCGCGCGCCGGCGGTAGCGGCAACGACGGTGGCGGCTGTACGTCGGCTGTATGTGCGACGGATCTCTCTCTCTCTCTCTCTCTTTCTCTCTCTTTCTCTACGTTCTCTGGTAGCGGGGGCCGGGGAACTCTCTCTCTCTCTCTCTCTTTCCTCTTCGCTGCTCCGCTGCGCGAGCGCGAGCACGATTTTAAGGTTAGGCCGTGCACCCACTTCGGAGCGCACGGATTACGGATACGTGTTGTAAACGGAGGGTGAAGTCTAGGTTAGGTTAGGTCGCGCGCGACATCGCGCGCTACGCGTGCTACCGCGATAGTGCCGTGGGTGCAGCGCGAGGTGGACCACCACCCCACCATGAAACTCTCGGCGCTACTACCTGTCCTGTCCGACGCCACTCTCTCTCACTCTCTCTCCCCCTCTCTATCTCGCTCGCTCGATCCCTGTCTCTCTGTCTGTCTCTCTCTTTCTCTCTCTCTCGGCCGTTCGATGCACCGACATCCGTTCGTCTCGCTCTCACGATTGTCCGTTTCTCCCGCTTACGCGGATTCGCGGAGCGAGCCGACTTCTTCCCTCCTTCTCGGTGCGCGACTCTGACGGGAACACGTACGGCCCGCGTCGCTCCGCGAAAACCCTAGAGTCATGGATGCCACCTTTGTACTCTTTACAGCTTTACTGCTTTCCCAAGCGTGTACCGAGCGAGCGAGCGTGCGCGAGCGTGCGCGACAGATGTTATCCGGCGGACGAAGAATTCAAACTTTTGTCTCTCCCCGCGAGTCTGGCTCGCTTTGGTCGAGAGGTTTCAAAATTGGTCAGCCATATTTTTAACGACGCGCGCGCGCGCGCGCACGCGAAGACCGAGTCGGTGCCGACTCTCGTGTGTTTTGTAAAAAGCAGATAATGTTTAATTCTTTCTCGAAGGAGGTATCGCGTGTATTTAATTTCGCCAGACAGCTCAAATAGCAGCGTCGTCGCGGAACTCGTCAGCGAGCGCAAATAAGCGTTAAAATGAAATACGACGGTATGCCCAAAGGTATAATATAGGTTACGTCACGCGTTACGGGTTACACAATATAGGTTATATAACACAATGTAATTTGCGTTATTTTTACACCGGATGATCTTATCTCGTTCCAGATGACGAAGTGGTCGGGGGGATATAACGGGGGACGAGAATCGTGAGTTTTACGCCCGCCGTCCTCCAGCCCCTGCCGCGCGCTGCTCGACCACCTAGCAGCGGGGGGTAATGAGAATGGGATGGACGCGGAAGCCAGGAGAAGCTGCGGGAGAACGGCCGTGTTCCGGTAGTACGTGAAGCAGCGCGCGCGTGCGGCGTTATGAGGTTTGCGACATCTTAACATGTTAAATGCCGCCGTGAACTATCATTGGCCCACATTGGGCTTTCCGCTCGAATCGCATAGCGCGTATATTTTACATTACACCTCTTGCTCTTCGTACACGGGGGAAAAAATGCTGTCGATGAGGCAATCAAATTTCCAACAGTAACGTAATTGGAGTAAATCTCCTATCCAATGGCAAATATTAAAACTACCACGTTATGTATTGTTTCAATAATTGAAGTATTAGTTTCAATAATATCACTATTGAATCGATAAGATTTACTCCAATTACGCGCGCTATTGGAAATTCTGTTGATTCAACAGTATTTTTTTTTCGATGTATATATATAATAATGATGTTTTTAGATTTATAAGTATTATAAGACACATGTTATATAATAAGTGTGGCGATATCGTGGATCATCGGTGGTCCACACGGCGTGAATGAAAAGTCACATCAGCGAAATTGACGCGAGGTCCTCAATATGTTAAATATAATCGGCCTTTAATCGACGTCTCCATTTGTGACGTTGGAGCGCAAAATTCAGCTAGGATCGTTCGGCGTAATTATGCATTTTTCGTTATTTTCATCTGGTCTCACGTCGACTCTATGTGTCGGAGTTGCTCTTATTCGCGCGATCACGCGATCGGTTGACGGATGTATATGCGCGTACACGCCACGAGTAATCTCTCACGCTCCGCTTTTACTCGCTCGGTCCCTCATTTGCGGAAATTGAGCGTCGAAAGCGCGGTATCGTCGTTCATCGTTCGCGCGAGGCGGCTTAACACACCAGTCGAGGTTGAAGAATCGCGTGGTACTCGGCAGTACCGAGGTTCCCGACACTTGGAAGTCGCGTCTCTCCTTCTCCCGCGGCTAGGGGAGTGTATACGTATCGCGGTTAGGTCGCGATCGTCGTGCGCCGTGACAAGGAGGAAGAGGCGCGACGCGTTATATCACGAAGTAGATCCGATCCGTTGACGTATACACACACGGTGTAGGGTCAGTGACGGGCAGTCACGTGGTTCGCACGTGGGTTTCATTCATGAAACGTGCTCGTAGGTCGTAGCCGCAGCAACGCCGGTAGCAGCGGTGGCTGGTGTTGCCGCTGTGGTAGTAACAAACGCCGCCGTGGTAGTGCTGACGCGCGTATAGCATCAATCGGGGATACGATAGTGGTCGTGGTATTAGTAGTAGTAGTAACGGCGGTAGGTAACAGGCAGGCAGACAGGCAGGCAGGCAAGGAAGGTTAGCCCGAACTGGCTGGCTGGTTGGTTGGCAAGTGGAGGCAGAGCGGATGCCGTAGAGTGGAGTTTGTAGTGGCGCGGTGTGTTGGTTTACGCGCTGGATTTTCGCCCCGAGCGAGCCATCCAGCCAGCCAGCCATGCGGAGGGAACGGGGGAAAACGAGGAAGAGAGGAATCACGCGACCGTGGGGTCAGAGCGTGATATCTCTCTTTCTCCTCTCCGACTTTCGGAGCTTCCTCCTCGTGGGGTCTCTCCCTTATGCCACGTATCCGTTACCCGCCGTCTCGAAAGATTACAACCTTAAGACCGTCCTTATCCCTTGTCCTTTCGCCCTTTCTCTCTTTCTCTCTCGCGCGCGCGCGTCTCTCTTTCACTTTCATCCACTCCCTCCCGCGGGAATCCCCGTCGCTCGTTCGCTCGCGCGAGCACCCGACGAGCACGACAAGAGCGCGCGGACCGTTCCAGCCGGCCGGTAGACCGGTCTTGCCGGTGGTCGTGCTCCAATTTCTCGACCTTGTTATTCGCGAATCTTACGTGTCCCATGAACGTAATCGAATACCGGAGCGCTAATCCACTAACATCGTTAACAATGAAAGCGGCATCGATCGAAGCGTCGATGAGGAACGGTAGGGATTGGACCGTGAATCTGGTCTGCGCGACTATCGATTCGTCTCGCGTGCTGCGGGATCGAACAGCGACGAATGCCGAGCGGCGTGCGCGTTTTCTATTAATACACGCTTCCAGAAAGCCGGCTATATCGACGTGTGTATACACGCGTATACTTTTTTTTTACATAATTATCGATTATCGATTCCGACATTACCGTCGACGACGATTACGAGAGAGCGTTAACGACTCGGCGGTTGCGACGTGTGCTTTTGCCGCGAGCATATCACGCCGGTCTCTGAAAAGTCTCTCGCCGAGTATAATAGTTCTTCCGCCGACGTGACCGGAATCCTTCCCATCGCGCTCGCGATTTTAATTTTCTCGACGAGGACGCGCCTCCGTTCGATCGAACGGGGCGCGGCGAGGAATCTTCGAAAAAGCCGACGTGGCGGCGGTCCTGTACAAGGCGCGGGCGATATGCATACGTCCTTAAAAACGGCATACGTACGTTGAGACTTCCGAGTCTCGTTGAACGCGCGCATATCCCGCGGGAATCAATATCCGCGCGTCTCCCAGTCTCCCCTACACTCTCCCCTGTCTTCCCCCGGCCTCATCTCCCGCTCTCCCTCTTTCCTCCGGCACACGGATCTGCCCCCTCACCTATATACCTCGCGGTGCTGCACCTTCTTCGGCCGTGCACCGTGCCACCCCCGCCGCGCGGAGCGGATCGGAGCGGTGCGGCGCGGCCGTCCGCCTCTGATGAATGTGATTTAGAGAAGGGAGAGAGCGGAATACGGCCGCCCGCTTCCTCCTTTGGTACCTCCAGCCTTTCTACCCAACCACCCATCCACCCTCGTCCTCCTCTTCCGCCCGCTCCTCCTCCTCTTCGTTCTCCTCGCCCTCTTCCAACCCCTCGCGCCCAGACCTCGATCCCTCCTGCCCCACTACCACCTTCTCCTCTATCAACTTCCACCACGTCAACCTACCTACCCCTCCTTCGTTTCCCCGGCAGCTACATCTCACCCAAGTCGACACACAACTACAAAACATTCAATTTGAACGTAAAGTTAAAACGAAATGGATTTTCCAGCGCGCGGGTACAGTCGCCGGCAAAAGCTCGCGAGCTCGCTCGTACTTCTTCCGCGGATGGCTGCATGCGATGGGTTTCGCTGTATCAAATCGCCGTGCAGAGAGACGTGGATGATGAACCGGGGATTCCTATTGTCGCGACGTTTTGTATATTCCGACGAAACGTGTCCTCGTGTACTTCGTTTGGTGTTTCCCGAGTGTCTCGGGATAATCGATATCCGGGTAATGAAAACCGAAACCTCTCGTTTGCGACTATAGTCGTAGTATTACTTGCTTTTCTCCTCCTTTTTTTTTGTTTCCCTCCGGCGCTCTTGACAATTCCTTCCTCTACTCCCCTATTTACCTCTCTTTGTGTCATAAATTACAACGCTAATCGTGCTCCTTCTCTTTTCTAATTATCTTATCGTCGTGTCTTAGTTTACCATAGCGAGACACGACGGTGTACCTGTTACGACGTGAATTGCAATTTAATAAGCTTCCTCATCGAAATGTTCTAAGGTGATCGATTCTTAATACTTCCCTCTAGGAAGGTGGTGACAAAAAGGGTTGCTCGCGCGCACGCGAAGCATTAGCCGACTCGAGACATTATTCATCGGCTATCGCCGTCGCCAAAATTATGCTCTTTATTACGAGATGAAATTACAAAATATCGATCGGATTGTACAACCCGAGATGGATCTACTCCGGAGAGAAAGGAAAAAAGTATGACTAAACGTCGATCGAAATTGCATAATCGCGGACGTACGAATAACGAAGCGCAAAGTTTCCTCTAATAACAAAAGTAACTCAGAGACTCGAAGCAAAATAAAAGCGGATTCGTGGAAGGATCTGCACTCTAGTGAATCACAAGTGAGATATGAATTATGCATTCGACTAACGCAGGTCCCCTTCTTGCTTTTCGACTTACCCGAGGAATCGAGCGAGTTCAAAAAGACCAATAGAAAAATACGAAACACGAAGACAAAGAATATATATATATATGTATATATATACATATATACATATACATACACGTATATATGTATATTTCTCTTCTTCCCTCGATGTGATCTCTTCCTTCATCAAATTCATCGAAGACAGCGGTCTCTCTGTGCCGGCGGAACGTGGAAAGAAAATTGCGCATATTAGAGTGTAGTTTTTCCACTCTCGCCTCTCTAATTGCTCGCGCTTCCTCCCCCCACCGTGCGTGAAAGAGGAAGAGAAGGGAGGAAAAAGCATTCCGCGGAGGGGAATTTATGCATGTCGAGTCAACATTTCAAAGATGCTTTTCGCGTCTCACTTCGAACTTTTCCTCCTCTTTTCCATCGTGCGCGCGATCGATGCGCAAGTTGACCGACGATGTGGACAACGGAAGCATAACCGGTATATGCCTGATCAGCAACAAGGTGTCCGGAAAATCGTGGGGGTAGGATCTCGAGACAGTTTGACCCTCCTTCCTGTGGGGGAGACTTTTCGCCGAGAATCGCCGAGAGGCGGGTGAATCAACCCCGTCCGTTTCGCCAGGACCGACCATGGTCACCCTCAACTTCACCCTCGGTTCTCGCCCCCGTTACCCAACCGCGTTCTCGCTTTTCCTCGTTCGCTCTTCCGCTTCTCTTTCTTGCACGCCCGAGTTACCCGGCGGAAAACTGGCTTCGCTCCACTGTCCTTACGTAGCCGGTCTGGTTGATGTGGGTCGGTGCCTGAAGAATCAGGGTCAAGTTCACGGTCGTGCTAAAGAGCACGTTGCAACTAATACGTCACCTCGTCCCTTCGTGGAACTCGTCACGCTCCGCGTTGCTCCCTCGCGTGCTCGTGGAGATATTCGACAGTGTCGACGACGACAACGACGAACTCTGTCATCCCTGAGGAGTGTTTATTATTATCGGACGTTGTCGCGCCACTGTGTAAAGGAACAACGGATGGCGCGCGAGCGAGATGGTCAATGAACGCTACGCTCTCTCTTTCTCTCGTCAAACGAAGCGTCTCGTCCAATTAACCGTTTTTAATCTCACAAAAGAGATTTTTGCATCGTTGCAGATACTTAACGCCTGCGCTGGCGCTCGACAAAGTGATTTTCAGTTGAACGCTCGATCGTGAAACATTTATAAAATGCGGTCACGGAGTAGAAAGAGAGAGAGAGAGAGAGAGAGAGAGAGAGAAAAAGAAAGAAAGAAAGAAAGAAAAAGGCCTCGTTTCTGTTTAGTCGCCCCGATACGCCTTCCATTTCCCGTCGTCGTCATCGTCGTCGTCGTCTTCGAGAGATCTCTCGAGCCACGTCTATCCGAAGGTAATTGTCGCGCCGTAAACATTTCCGCTGTCTCTTCCTTCCCGTTCAATTTGTCGCACTTAGTATCGACGTGTCGTTTTCTTTTCCTTTTTTTTTTTACCTTCGAAATGAAGTGAAAGTTCGAAAAATGGGTCGATGACTTATCGCTTCAAAGGACGAAGCATTTTTTGTCCGTATGTTGCCTTGAAACATGGCAAAAAGTGGTAGATTCGAATGACATGCACTTCGATTGAAATGACTGTAACGTTTCTTTTACATTAATAAGTATATTTTCGAAAAAAAAAAAGCGCGAGAATTTGCGAGGAACCTTAAGGGATTAAGGATGATCGAATGAAATAATATAATGTTACATCTCAATATTCTCCATTGATCCTTCAAGTTTGGCGGAATTTACGGGGTTAATGTAGAACCAAAATGTCGACTCGGGTCGGGAGATATGCAACTACCGAGACGGCAAGGGACCGTTGTGGTGGCGGTGCGTAACGCTTACGCGACCTTAAGCATCAAGCAGCGCCGAAGTCGCGCTTGTCAATGCGCTATTAATATTTAGATGCTGCGCGACTTGTTATCACAGGCACCGTAGGGGGAATCGTAAAACACGGGACGGGTGGATTCTTTCTATTTTACGAGCTTTCGCCTCGCGAGATATTAGCACCCTCGTCCCCCGCCAACCACTTAACAGCTCCTTGCGCTGGCGAAACCGTCGTGATACTCGTCGTCGCGCGGAGAACGCGAAGGAAAGGAGAAAACACGAGGGTGCTGCGCGCGCGAGCGTCTACTCTCACGGGCCTCGACTGTTACGAGTTTGAAAATATCGGTTAAAATCGTTAGTCGCTCGTAGAAGCGAGCATTTACTCTCGCCGGCCGCGGCGAAAAAGTCCCGGCCGAGGCGAGGAATTATCGTTTTACGATCGCTTTGGCGCATTACCAAATGACACATAATGACACGGTAATGAGCGTCGATTTACTTGCAAAAACGATCGCCGCGTTAACTCATGCGCCACGCCGAGGATGAGAGAGAGAGAGAGAGAGAGAGAGAGAGGAGAGTAAAGAGGAGCGATCGATACGCCACGCGTTTAGATACGAGGAATTTCCCTTCGCCCACTTTGTCCGTCCGACGTTTTTATAACACGCTTCCGCAGTGAGAGAGCCCTCCTCCTCCTCGTCATCCTCCTTTTGTTTCACCTCGCTGACGCATTCTTCCGTTTTACGGAAGACGAGATCGCCCGGTGAGATCTCTCTCCTCCTCTACCTTCTCCTCCACAGAGGTGATTCTCTCCCGTGTGTCGAAAGTGAGATTAACCGGTCGTTATCGCGTCGTGTTATCTTCCGCGAGGAGTGTATCTGTGCGATTTGTGCCGTGTTACGTGAGCGTGTGCGGCTTTTTGTCACATTGAATCGAGTGTAACAACTTTAACAGTGTTCAACTGGCGAAAAATTCTGTCAGCCGGATCTCGAAATTGTCACTCGAAGTTTCTCTCTCTTTCTCTACCTCGTCGCGCGATTTATTCATAGCACGTTGCGGCTAGATGCGGCCAGATCTATTCAGTCTCTTTCGGCTTCGCTTGGCTAAGCATAAAAGCTTAACGATCGCTTTACCCCCGCGTCTGCATCTACAACATCGGTTTACAGACTGACCGCCGAATATCGTTTTTATCTCTCACACGGATTATACGCCGTGTTGCGCGGAATCCCGTTCTTTTGAACGGCCGCGTTCTCTCGCGATTTAATTAATAGCGAAATTGTGTCCCTTCGTAAGCGGTGATAATAATAGTCATATTAGTAATAATAATAATAATAATAATAATAATAATAATATCCGCGAATAGCGCGTGCCATATTGATGCTTTTTTCATTTTCCTTCTTTCCGCTTTTTATCGCCTCCGCGTTCTTTTTTTCTCCCTCCGCCGTGGTCGCCGGAAAACTGATCGATACGTTGCCCAACGTTCGTATTATTATCCGTCAACTTTTTTTTTTCCATTCTAAGTCACGGTCGGTTCTTTGACGAATTAATGTGTACCATCGTCGTTGTCGTCGTCATTGGTGTCGTCGGTTGTCTGCAAAATTTATGACCGTCCCTTTTTCCATGATTTATAAGTCGAAATTACACTTGTAAATACCGATAAAACAATCAGATATCGAGACGGCCGCATAACTTGATTTACGAGTCCACTTCTGATTCGAATTCCTCATCACTATGTGGCCACTCGATGGCATCTTTGTTCGTAAACGATTGCTAAGCAAGCACAAAGCATCGATTCAAATCGGAGACAACCGATCGATACGGCTGTGTGTGTGTGTGTGTGTGTGTGTCGTGACTATCCCGAAAGAAATGTCCACTCGCCTTTATTATGATAAATAACAAATAAACCGTAAGAACACGGAATAAGGAAGAGGACGTAGATACGTAGATAGTCCGTCGGCTAGAGTCGTACGCTTTCGTGGAAAATTCAATAGAGACAAAACGAAAACGTATCGCCGGCGAAGGGAGACGCCGCTGGAGGATGTGTACACATATTTCATATGTAACGTAAATCTCCGGCGAGCTAACACACCATGAGAGATAACGAGAATCAATAAACGAGATGCAAATATCGCTGAAAATGCGGAATAGGTGAAATAAAACCTTAACTC